CCCCAAAACCCCAAAACCCCAAAACCCCGATTTGAAGAAGAAAAATTGAAAATCAGGATTTGGAATGGTTAGTATGATCTTCCCCATAAGGCTGTACTGGTAGCATTAGAGTCACAAGCAAAGCATTTGGTGCCTTCAGCAAGTTCTGGCTGGCTAATAGGCTTGCATAACGTCTTGGCGCTTCCAGTAAGTACCTCCTCGCCTGCATTTTCAGCTTGCTTGGATTCTTCCTTTGATCTCTCTTTTACATTATCTTCACAAGATTCTTGATCACACCATGGAGTGAGAATAAGATTTCTTTGATTGAGTTCTGACATGAAATCATCCCAAGTGGCAGCATTCTTCATTCTATCATCTCTTTCTTTTACTGCTTTGTCGTACATTCCTGCTTGAATCTTGTCTAGCTCATCAAGCAAACTTTGGGAGATACCTTCAGTACTAAGTTGGAATTTCTTGCCGTCAAATCTTCTGACAACTCTGACCTCGCTATTTTCAATGTCTTTCTTGCCAATTTCAAGACGGATTGGGACTCCTTTGACTTCCCAGTGGTTAAATTTCCACCCTGGCTTATAATTCTTCCTGTCATCAATCTTTACTCGAATTCCAGATCCCTTCAGAGTTGCAAATACTTTATCAGCTGATTCTAAGATCTCATCATGATTGTCTTTGTTAGTAATTGGCACAATCACAACTTGAACTTGGGCTACCTTTGGAGGCAATACAAGTCCTTTGTTGTCTCCATGGATCATAATCATAGCTCCGATGGATCTAGTAGTGAATCCCCAAGATGTTTGGTGAGCAAAGTCCTTCTTTTTGTCTTCATTTTCAAACCAGAGATCAAACATTTTTGAGAAGTTCTGTCCTAAATAGTGGGAAGTAGCTCCTTGGATTCCTCTTCCATTTGATGGGACGAAAAGTTCAACAGTTGAAGTAAAATCGGCTCCAGCAAAAGTCTCTCCTCTACTCTTGATTCCTCTGATAACTGGAACAGAATACATTTCTTCATATGTTTTGGCATAGCATTCAAGTATTTCATAAACAAATTTAGTAGCTTCATCTTTTGTAGCATGAGCAGTATGTCCTTCTTGCCACAAGAATTCTCTTGTTCTGATAAATGGAGTTGGATGTTTGAACTCCCATCTTACAATATTAGTCCATTGGTTCAAAAGAATTGGCAAATCTCTATGAGACTGAACCCATTTAGCAAAAGCTGGATACATAATAGTTTCACTTGTAGGTCTGATGGCAATGGGCTCCTTCATATCAGTCTTTCCACTTTTGGTAACCCATGCTACTTCTGGAGCAAACCCTTCAAGATGATCTTCTTCTTTAGTCAATGCTTTCTCAGTTACAAAGATTGGGAAATATGAGTTTTCCACTCCAGATTGTTTGAATAAGCCATCAAGGAATCTTTGGACTCTTTCCCAAATGCCATAACTCCATGGTCTCAGAATATAGCAGCCAGACACGTCATAGTACTCTATCATCTCACTCTTAGTGATAACCTGAGAATACCAAAGGGAGAAGTCATCCTCCCTTGAGATGGTGATGCCTAGCTCATGTAGGTCTTCATCTTTAGCTTTCTTTTCTTTCTTAGGCTTCTTTTCCTTCTTCTGTTGTTTATATTTTGGTGTATCAGATAACACGACAAGTTCTGAAAAATTAATAACCTGAGGCTCATGATTTGAGAGTGTAATAACTTTCTCCATATCAGCACCTGAGATTGCAAAGGTAGCATCGTTTTGCATTGGGTGGATTCCTAGCCACTCTTGCCCATATAGAGACTTATCAACCAGGAGTTGGACCTTCTTTTCATTATCATTCAGGATGCAGAATAAATTGATAGATCCTCCTTTGACTTTTAGGATTTCTTCCAATTTATCAGAATCCCCTCCTCTGATATTGCTTGAGCCAGTCTTGAGGAACTTAGCGAGAGCCTTAAAATCAACAACAGTGTCGTGCTTGGCTACTAGAAGGTAAAGAGTCTTCTTCTTTTTATCTTTCAAGAAAAGATTCTTTGCAAGTACAACTTCTTTATCGGGAAACTTCACTTCTTCAATCATTGTCTCTACAGTTGGAACTGGTGGGTGTCTAACACACTATATTCTCGTTGTTAAGGACTTACCGAGAACTCAATTCCGTTGTCGTTACAAAACTTCTCAGTTTCATCGATATTGGTAAGGGAGTAGCTTGTCTCCATTTTATTAAAGATTACAAATTTTCTAAAAAATCTTTTGTAAAAGGGGTTTTGGGGTTTTGGGGTTTTGGGG